ACTACTACTACTACTACTACTACTACTACTACTACTACTACTACTACTACTACCACCTCCTATCACGTGCACTTTTAGGAAGCAATTGCTACAAAGTTTACTTTCAAGCACAGCTACGGAATATACTTCTAAATGAACTACTGATCGTAAATAGATTTAAACTCCAATCGGTACAATTCTGAATTATTTTGATCCCTAAAGCAGCGTACTGCTTCGGCCCTGCTTGTCAGCGGCAGCCGAGAATTGTATGAAATGCAGTTTTCGTGAACGAAACTCCGAGATTTGTGTAAAATAGATATTTCTCAATGCGGGTATTGAGCTAAGTTCTGTTGTGTACTACGATGAAGGGCAAGATTCTTTCACCACAAGTACCACAAATTGTAGCATGTTCCTAGAGACATTCAATTAATATATGAGACTTCTGAGAATTCCATCTACTTTTATGAAAATGTAGTTGCATAAAATAATACGAGTATTGGGAGGAGGTAAACTCAGGAGAGAGTGAAAAGGGGGGGGGGGGGGTGAAACTGGTAGACAGAAAAAACAAAAAAATAATGAAAAAAAGTCGAAACAGACAATAAAAAAAGGAATTAAAAAAAAACAAACAGACAGTCAACAAACAAACAAGCAAACACTTGTGAAACAGTAAGGGCAAGAACGGGTCAGGTACTCGGCACAACAAGTAAAGCCCAGGAAGGTATATAATCAGACACAACCACGACAAAAATCAAGCACTCACCCTTTTACCCACCCACCAGCCACCCTTACTCTATCCGGTCCAGTCAACGAATGGTGAGCCAAGATTCGCACTGTCTACGCAAAGAAGTGAACAATGTGGGTTTCTTGAGAAATGAACTATTGTCTACAAAATCCCTGCGAATCCTACTATCTATAATAATCTACTAATTCTAGGAAGTGTAGGCTCGTTTGATCCAGTCCAACATGTTCGCTCCACGCTCGGTCTTTAAGAGTGGTGTCCCAAGAACCGGTCTTGTTAAGGTTCTTTCACCTTTTCGATGTTATCCCGTAACAGCTTGACCTGGTCTGAAACCAATGGAGAAAAGAAATCAGGGGATTATTCTGCGGGAACGACTTTATATGGGTCGCTAAAAAAGAAAATAGAACACGAGGAATATGGAATTGGTTGGTCAATGAAAACAGTTTAACATCGAGGATAACACGTCGTCTATTTTTATATTAGAGCCTTTTTTAATGGCAACAACGAGGGCATAGGTATAACACCGCTGTGCTGTCTTTTGTCACACATGGCTTTAGATAAAATAGCCTCCGATGACTAATATTAAAACTGAATATAAAGGGAAAAAAGTTATTTAGATGATTCTTGGTAAAACTTTTTTTTTTTCAACTTTGACATGACACTTTGCTGCTGCTGCTAATACGACCACTACTACTACTACTACTACTACTACTACTACTACTACTACTACTACTACTACTACTACTACTACTACTACTACTACTACTACTACTACTA